TGCATTGCATTCTCTCTTAACTGCTTTTTACCAACAAAGGCTTTCCTATTTAAAACAGACATAAACTGTCACTTTGCTAAAGCAATAAAACCTCTATCTCATATTTCATCTATCCAAAGACTTACTATTTGGACAGGCCGCCTCCCTTCGTGTTACAGAGAAGTGTGTACAAGACAAAGGCACCATGGTTACACAGGTGGGGCACAAGTGACATTACAGAAGGAGGGCTATATCAGCTGCTCCCAAGAAGGTTCAACTAGGAGGAAAGAAGATGCCAAAAAAAAAAAAAAAAAACAGCCTAAGGTATCTGACATCTGGTCAGAGTGTTAACCCATCTACTCAAAAAAGAATTTGTTGATGTATAATTAAGTGTTCAACATGTCTTTAGAAAATAAAATTGTAGGGGCTGGGGATATAGCTCCACTGGTAGAATGCTTGCCTCACAGGCACAAGGCCCTGGGTTCAATCCCCAGCACCGCCAAAAAAAGAAAATTGCATACCCCATGTCTTACACAGTCTTCAAAGAGGCAACAGTGGCTTTAAGATAAGAGACTGAATAAGAAATTTAGTCTCTAGGATTGTTTTATTTTATCACAAACAGGAAATACACACCTTTTTAGACCAAGAAACAGAGAAAGAGATACTATAGAGTTTGAAGTATCTTTAGTAGCAATACCCCAAATGTCACAAGTTAAAGCTGCTAAACCCCACAGGTCTGTGTTTGGGGCTCCTGCTTTCTGCACCTTGCTCTTTGTTTATGGATGTAATGAAACCCCAGGAGAGGTGGGGGAAAACATGAGGGTCCCCACACCAAGGTGTTCTCTTCAGTGAAGATGGGCTTCTCGGATGTGCACCGGGTTTTGAGTCAGAATTCGCTCTGTGCTGGAAACCCTACCCTGGGTCGCATCAGGACCTCCACACACTAGACACCAGTACCAGCCCCACATCTATACCAGGTGTGACAACCAAATGCTCTCCAGGGGGCAAAAGTGCCCCAGGCAAGGACCACTGAATTAGGGCAAGGGACATCTGAAGATCCATGCAGCTGATCACCTTCCAAAGGTGGTGATGCAGAAGCAAGGGCCCTAGGAACTTGGGATTCTCAAGGCTGTCATTTCCCCATTATTTGTCCATGGTGAGGAGAGGAAAAACCTGAGGGAGGAAACCGAGTCACTGTAAAGCAGGGAACAGCAAAGCTGAGAAAACTCAATCTGCTCCATCTGGGGCAGATCCGGGAACCTTAAGAGCTTAACTGAGGGATATCAAGGTCATTTCCAAGGAGAGGAAGGGAAAGGCGAGTACTAGGACAAAAAGGGATAGGAGGGCTTGGGAGCCAGATAGTGGCGAGTATCCTGGGAAAGCAGGGCTCTGGACTGCTGTCAATTTCCCACCCAAGAAAGAATCACCTCCCAAAACTTCACAGCAAGAGTAGAGAAGGAAGGAGAGCTCGACAAGGCGCAACACATTTTCTAATGTTTTATTTGCTCCTTCCAGATATTTCTAACCTGACCCTTAAATCTGTTTCAACTTTTTAAAAATGGGGGGAAAAAACCTTCAATTACTTCAAAGCCATCTCCTCCCCTCATCAGTCCACGCACCTCTTCCAAACCAAGTGTAAAACCAGTAGCTGGGACGCTCTGCAGAGGAGAAGTCAGCTACAGGGAAACGTGGGGGTGCCCAGAGAGGAAGTCTCTTCCATCCTTAAATTTTCACTCTAGGGATAAAGAGTTCTTCATTTCTTCAGCTCTACTCTGGTTTTTATTTTGTAAAATGTGCAGGTTATTTAACACCTTTCCAATGACGAAAAGCTCGTAAGATGCAACAACCACTTACTTCCCTAAGAAGAAATGGGAATGACAAAGTAGAAATCAAAAAGGGCAAAATGAAATGAAGAGAAGTATAAGCCCCAGCATCTCAGTTTCACTTTTCACTCTTATTCTGAGTTTAAAATATGGCAGCATTTAACGGTGAGATTTTGTTTTTATAAATTGTTCATAATTTCTGAAGTCACCAATCATAGCCAAAGGTATGAAAAGTCAGGTCTGTCTTCCTGACTTTTCCTAGAAAACTCTCAAGATGAAGAGAGATTCTACATAAATAACATCTGGGAATTACCCTCACCAGGGGTTCAGTAAGAGTTCAGAGTTGGGGAAGAGAAAAGCGCAACACCAGCCATGGGACCACTGGTGCTGAGGGTTACCCAAAGGTGGAATGGAATGCACCTAAAGAACCAGCAAAACACCCCAGATTATGCTAAGTGAAGCTAGCCAATCCCTAAAAAACAAATGCCAAATGTCTTCTTTGATATAAGGAGAGTAACTAAGAACAGAGTAGGGTCGAAGAGCATGAAGAGCATGCGAAGAAGATTAACATTAAACAGGGATGAGAGGTGGGAGGGAAAGGGAGAGAGAAGGGAAAATGCATGGAAATGGAAGGAGACCCTCAGGGTTATACAAAAGTACATACAAGAGGAAGTGAGGGGAAAGGGAAAAATAATATAAGGGGGACAAACGAATGTCAGTAGAGGGGGCAGAGAGAGAAGAGGGGAGGGGAGGGGAGGGGGGATAGTAGAGGATAGGAAAGGCAGCAGAATACAACAGACACTAGTATGGCAATATGTAAATCAATGGATGTGTAACTGATGTGATTCTGCAATCTGTATATGGGGTAAAAATGGGAGCTCATAACTCACTTGAATCAAATTGTGAAATATGATATATCAAGAACTATGTAAGGTTTTGAACAGCCAACAATAAAAAATTAAAAAAAAAAAAAAAACACCCCAGAGTAAAACTCCGGACCTAAGGAGAAGCTGTGCCTTGAATGACTAACCTGTTCCATAACATCCATCACCAAGAGGCTGAGATGCTGTCGTCCAAACACAAACCCTGGCTTGAGAGCTAAGAACAGGGCAAGTCCAGCTTAGGCTCACTCGATTTAGTTACCTGAAGATACTACCGGTATCTCCTAGACTCAGTGCTCACATGTGCAAAGTGAACTAAGTGTGAAGTAGTCCTTACCAGTTTCCTTCACTCATTCATTCATTCCACAAGCCACAAATGTCAAGTTCCATTCCAGATGTTTGGGGAAATAGCTGTGAACAACCACAAAAAGACAAAACAACTGCTCCTGGAGCTTCCACTCTAGATTCTGGAACTTACTATATAAATCAGAGTTTTCAAAGTATAGGTGGTGAAATTCATTTAGCAGTAGTACCTGATAAGCATTTTTTTGGTCACTGAATCTTTGATAAGCATTTTGAAAAGAAGAAATGGAACAGAATATCATAAAATAGATATGAGTGCATCACACATAGTAAGAATAAGCTGTTTCACAAAATTTGCTTAGTTACTGATAGATATTTGTATCTAGGAGGATCAAGAAGGATAAGGTATTTCTGAATGTGGGTCACTGGTTACAAAGGAGGTCAGAAGTCCTGATAGAAGGTCTCTTTTCTTTCTGGTCACTGGTTCACCTCCTACTCTTCACTGTGGGTGCTTCTTAGGAACATCCTGCCGGTAGATTGAATCTCATTACTTTCTCATTTGCTCAAAAATGGCATTATGGATAAATATCAAAGAATATGTTCTTTCAGATAAGTGTTTGCAACCTTTCTGAGTAGGATGCTTTTTTATATCAGTTCTCTTTTTATATGCACTTCTTGTCTGATTAAGAAAATAGTGGCTAAAAGCCACATGAACTTTCAAGTAGAGTCATCAGCATAAATGCTAAGAACTTCTACATAGAAATACAAATAGCATACACAGAGGACAAGTTATTCATTCTGTCTACACAGCACACTTGATGTTCAGACAAGTTTACTGAGCTCTTGTGCCAGAACAGTTCCCAGGTACAGAGACTGGTAATCATTGTCCCGGGTTCCAGTTTTATTTGTCTATTTTAGAATCACTGTGTTCTTACCAGATGATCTCTTTAAATACTTTCTGCTCATTTTCTTGCTCACTCCCTCTTCTTTCTATTAATTAATGCAAACTATTAAATCTGAGCACTAGCAGTTATAGGAGTTTTTAGTTCTTGTTGTTCATTTGTTTCATAATTTTTTTAATCCCATGAGCCAAGCTCTTTCAGACTGCTGTTAGGAACCGTGAACATAATTTTTCAAAACTTTCCTAAAGGCATACCCAACCCTACAACTGCCTTTGTTTTGACAGAAAACATTCAAAGGCAGCCACAACTGGAAGTGGCAAAGAGAATGACAAGAAACAAGCAGCCCAAGGTTTCCCAGGAATCTCACACCTCTGAAATGCAGCAGCTGCAGCCCTGGCTTCTCCAGGGTGCATATAGCCCTTATCATTGAGGTTGTATTACGGAGATCTAACTTTCCAGCTGCTTGTGCAGCTCTGATAAGATTTAGAAGTTAGAATGGATGATGCCATCTTTTAATTGAGGCTGGGCAAGGAGGAAGACTGAGCCCCTGTATGACAGAGGTCCAAGGTGGGCCACACAGATAAGAAAAGGTCAGAAAACGTCCTGAAAATCCACCTCCTCCAATAGACATGAGCGGCTGTTCACCAGCCCCCAGCTTCTAGAAACCAGCTGACCTTTCTCTGTTACTTTCAGTATTTTTTCCCTTCCTAGAAATCCAAACTGCACTCCCAAAGGTGGCTACCAAATACAATCCAGTTAAAGGCATGTTGCTTTAGCTCACTCTGTGGTCAGCAAATAGACAAACCTCAGATGCTCATAACTAGGCTTCATACTATCCTTTATCATTTGTTTTCCACGTTTCATGCTTAAAAAGAACAAAATGTGGGCTAGGGTTGTGGCTCAGTGGTAGAGTGCTTGCCTAGCATGTGTGAGGCACTGGGTTCAATACCCAGCACCACATAAAAATAAAACAAAATAAAGGTATTGTGTCCATCTACAACTAAAAAAAAAAAAAAGAACAAAATGTGACCTGTTCTTCACTAACAAGGAAATAATTAACCTTTTTCTGGGAAAACCTGGTTACCTCCCTGACAAGTTAAGAGGAGGTCTCTTTCCCATTTTCCAGCGATGGCTATAAAATGCCTGGACAAAGGCAATGGCTAAGCTGCCGTGGGCTTGGTGCTGTCCTGTGATCCTACCTGATGGGGCTTCAAACTTTGGAAAAATACATACTAGCACATCGGAGGGATTAACTGCTACCAAAGGTACAGAAATTTTTTTCTTTTTAAAAGAAATCTCTTGCCTAGGAACTTCTGTACACTGCTCTCAATCTTCCACTACAAACTCCAGGCCACCTAGTGTGGGCCCCTGAATTTAGTCAGTACTTTAGGAGCTCACACCTCATTTTACCAAAGACAAAAAACAGGGGGGGGGGGTGTCTCCATAAATTCCTTCGGCAACTGGAAACCAAGTCCTTCCTATTCCTTCTTTTCTCCTACTTAGCAGCTCAACATGCTCAAAGTGATCAGAAGACTTCTAATGATCACAAAAATTGTTCTATTAATTTAAAACCTAACTACATTCTAAATATTTAACGAGCCCCCTCTCTCCTGGCCTTGAATCTCGAACAGCTTTGCTAACTAGGTACAACAGAGCAACACCCTGGTACATCTTTACACTAAAAATCGTAAAGCCAGGTTAACCTCAAATTATGTCTAGCTTTTGTCACAGCAACCTTAGCCTCACAAAATTAAGAGTTACCGAATATCTGAGTAGGTGATCCAGGTGGAGATGAATTCCCACTGGGAGACAAGTAGAGGTAGTTTTTGTTCACTCCCGTGTCAAAATCAAACGGGGACTGGTAGTCCTCATATAAATCCATGTCTCGACAATCCATTCCAAACAAAGGCAGGAGGCATGGCTTGATCACCACCTGAGGTTACTCTTCAGATGCATGTCCCTCTGACCATATTCCCTCTGCACCATGCACCCTCACCAAGGAAATCACCCCGGTTTAGAGGCCCCGCCCTGGCTTCCGGGCCCAGATGCAGCAATTCCTTCTGGGAACCCTTCCCTCCTGGCAAGAAAGCACCCTTAGGAGGGGCTCTATTCACCACCTGTTGTTAATTTCAGTCAACAAAGAACAACCTGGGCAGGGGAATGGAGCTTGCTTCAGTAAACAAAGGAGGGCCAGGCTCTCTGCAGCGCTTGATGTGCAAACAGTTCAAGCCAACGCCAGGTTCTGGCAGAATTACAATTTATTACAATTTATTCTTTTAAAAACCAGTCAGCTGACCACAGCTACACCAGGCGGACTTAATCTTCTAGGACAAGAAAGGATTATCAATCAATAATCTCCTGCAACTGCCATCTGGGTGATACTTATTTTTTTTTTTCACCCTGGATTACCAATGAACTCTGGAAGCCAAGCTTCCTGACTTAGCAACCTGCTTTCTAAGCATAACCCGGTACAAAAATAAAGCTGTATTTTCATCATTACTTGATCTAAAGTAGAGTAGCATTACTGTCATAAAAGTTTCAATCCATCCTTTCTTTCTCTCTCTTTCCTTTCTTTTTCAGAAGGATGAAGTGTTTCCCTTACTTGCACTTAAAAGAGATGAACAGCTTTGAAGGTGCAGTTCCCGTGTCTTCTTGACCATATTGAAGCCAGATTTAAAATTAGGTAGTCAGTGTAGTTAGGTAAATCGGGTCTAATATCGAGTGAAATCTAAAATGGAGGCCATGAGAATGAATTCCCGGGAAAGTTGAGCAACTCTCGGAATGTTAATGAAGTCCAGGAAACAGCCCCCAACAGATTTAAAGATAGCCCATCCCAAAGAAATGTTAATGAACAGCAAACTAGAAGATGCTAACTCGGAAGTGCCCAGATTACTTCTTTGGCCCACCTGTGTCCCAACCCTTCGGGCCTTCCCACCTACATTCCATCACCGAAAACTATAAAAAGAGGAACACATTCGCCCTTCAATGGATTCCATCTCTTGGGTCCCCTTCTTCCTCCTGGAGAAGTCTTTTCTACTGTCCTTTAATAAACTTCTATTTTCCACTCTAAATTTGCCTCGGCGTGCTTCTCTGGTGTTCTACTTCAACATTGGGGAAGCAAGGACTGACACCAGTCAACATCGGTAACACTATGACTAAGGCCATGACTGCAGGTTCTACATTAAACCCCTTTCCCTTTGCACAGCCCCCCTACAGCAACTGGGACACAATTAGCTTGTAAAACAAAACTTCCAAGTCACCAAATTCCTTACCACAAGGCTCCTAGCAGAATCTTTGTATGCTCACCTTTGCATGATCTCTGCTCAAGCTCAGCATTTACAGCTCCTGCTGATTCTAATACTAAGCAGATAAAAATAAAGGCAACTCACTCCCTTACCCTTGATAGGCAATGGTCTGTTACTGTGTAAAGGTTTAGATATGAGATGTCACCCCAAAAGCTCATGTGAGACAATGCAAGAAACTTCAGAAGTGAAATGATTGGATTATGAGAGCCTTAACCTAAATAATGCATTAGTCCACTGATTGGGATTAACTGGGTGGTAACTGTAGGCCGGTGGGGGTGTCTAGAGGAGATGGGTCGCTGGGGGTGTGCCCTTGGGATTTATATTTTGTCCAAGGTGAGCAAGTCTCTCTGCTTTTTTTTAGTTCTTGATGTACCTTTATTTTTTATTCATTTTTATGTGGTGCTGAGGATCAAACCCAGTGCCTCACACGTGCTAGGGCAAGAGCTCCACTGAGTCACAACCCCAGCCCTCTTTGCTTCTTGGTAGCCACTTCCTGACCTGAATTTCTCCAACACATTCTTCTGCCACCACCCTGGGCTCAGAACAATGGAGCCAGCCACCTATGAAGTGAGACCTCTTAAACCATGAGCCCCAAATAAACTTCTCCTCCTCTAAAACTTTTTTTGCAAAATAAGAAACTCAATCCCTTGCCACTCCCCCCATAGGGGCAGGGGCAGGGGTGGGGGTGGGGACCTGGGCTTGAACTCAGGGGCATTTAACCAGGCTTAGCCACATTCCCAGCCCTTTTTTGTATTTCATTGAGAGACAGGGTCTCACTGAGTTGCTTAGGGCCTTGCTAAATGGCTTTGAACTCATGATCCTCCTGCCCCAGCCTCCTGAGCCTCTGGGATTACAGGTGTGTGCCACCATGCCCAGCTTCAAAGTATTTTAAGCATTGAAAAAAAAAAAATCAGTGTATCTAGTGTATTAAAGTATACATGCACCAAGGTAGTTTATATTCATCTCAACTTATGGCAGATTTTTAATATTTTTGTTGTTGTTGTTACTCTCGTGTTTTACTCCATTTATAGCAAGTCTTTATCTTATTTAAGTTTTTAAAAGTTTCATTTTTTAATAACAAAAAAAATTAGTCTGTTTTCTACTAAAAGGTACCAAAATTGGGTCAACTACAAATGTTGTTCATTTTACATTTAGAAGTAGAATGATTTCGTATTTTAATTATTACTTGAAAGAATGAATTGTCATTTTCCTGAACTCCATGGTAACTCGAACCACGATAGGACACACATCAGAGTTCTGTCCCTGGGCTAGAAGTGGTTTATGGGGTCTTTGGCCTTCTCCATACATTCTGCATTTGGTCACTGAATACTGGTAGGAAAAAAAAAATAATAATTCTCTGTTACCTTCTTCTTTCTAAAGCCACAGGTCTTAGAAGGTAATACAGACATAGATAGAATGCATGCCACAGTCACCTCCACCCTCTCACCTCCTCAAACTCATATCCTTGACCTTCTGTTGAGTATAAGCTACACCCTCTACCTGAAGTGTTAGCCAAAGTCATGCACCCTTCAAAGGTCAGGCAGAAATGCCACCTCTTCTCAGAAGCCTTCCCAGTGTGAAGGCTCTCCCAGCAGCAGCAAGTGCCTGTTGACCAGCTAGTCGGTGCCTCCACAGCCTCCCCTCAGGGCCCATGCTGTATGGCTGCACCTACCCTGAAGATATGGCTTGCAATTAACATGGAGGGGGGAAAAATCAATAATGCCTTATGAAGACATTATATGTCTTACTTATAATAAACATGAGGATTTGAGATTTTTTAAGTAATTGTCTAAAAGTTTTGCTCTATCTGCTTAGGTACAAGCTTAGGACTGATGTGTGAACAGCCTGGTTCTTAGAACAGGTTCTTGTTCTCCATATCTCCCATCAGAACCTAATTCACACATTCTAGCCTTGAGAAAAGTGAAGACAGATGACCAGATGTGGAAAAATCACAGATGAGTTAATGGAATGCCAGAAGCTCAGCTGGTTTAAGATTCACAAGCAAAGTGGAAGAGGAGTTGAAAAAAATAAAAGGCAGAAATGTGGTCTGGGGACAGACCACTAAAAATCTTGAGAGACAAGTATTTACACTTAGTATACTGTGTGACAATATAAAAAGTAAATATGAGGAGCTGAGATGCAGCTCGGTGGCAGAATGCTTGCCTAGCACTTGTGAGACGCTGGGTTCAATCCCCAGCACCTCAAAATAAGGAGAGGGTGCTTATCTAAAAAGAGGATCATAGTTCAATACAGACAAGAAAAAGAGAAGTCTTTGGTCCACAGCAGCTCTTTTTATTTATTTATTTTAATTTTTCTTTTTAATTATACATGACAGTATATTTTGACATATTTATACAAACATGAAGTACCTCTTATTCTAATTAGGATCCCACTCTTGTAGTTGTACATGATGTGGAGATTCACTGTGGTGTTGTGTATGTGTGTGTGTGTGTGTGTGTGTGTATATATATATATATATATATATATAAAGAAGAGTTCATTCCACTATCTTTCCTATTCCTGTCCCCATTCCCTTCCCTTCGTTCACCTTTGTCTAGTCTACTTAATTTCTATTCCCCTCTCCCCCACCCCCACCCCCTTGTTGTGTGTTAGCATTCACATTATCAGAGAGAACATTTGACCTTTGGTTTGGGGGGACTGGCTTATTTCACTTAGCCTAATAGTCTCCAGATCCATCCATTTTCTGGTAAATGTCATGAAGTCATTCCTTTTTTATGCACAGTAGCTCTTTTTATTTCCCATATGGGCTAGTTGGCCCAAGGAAGAGTCAGGTAACAGGTGGTCCTGTGGACATTTTTACAGGACTGTCGAAAATCGATGTGCCTAAGACTGAATTCACCAGTCTCCCTCATGGTGCATTGTTCCCAAGAACTCCCATTCTATGAGTCACCACCAAGGGCTGGCTGTTTATCCAACTACACCACAAGCTTCTACCTCTCTTTCTTCCACTGTCTCTGACCACACCCTAGTCAGATCTGCTTGGAGTGTTCCCACAGGGACCAGGCCACAACAGTATGGTGGATATCCACTGTCTAGTTTTTTTGTTTGTTTTATTTTTTAGGTGGACACAATATCTTTATTTTATTTTTATATGGTGCTAAGGATTGAACCCAGTGCCTCATGCATGCTAGGTGATCACTCTACCACTGAGCCACAACCCCAGCCCTGTCCTGTCTTTTTAACACTCTCTTTCCCTTGAGGAATTTCACCTCACCTACTGCATGGGTTCTGAGAAGGAAAATGACCATAGTTCTCACCTATTCACTGGCCTTAGGTGAGATCCTATGCTTCAGATCTGGTCCATGCAGACCTTGGTCCCCTTGTTCACAGAGACTGGCCTAAGGGAAGATGTCCAAACAGCTCCAGTCAGTGCCCTTCCCTGTAATTCCTCTATGAGTAATGGGGGGAAAGTGGCTTTCTCTATAACCTGAGCTGTTAGAAGCTGGTTTGGAGAGATCTGGGGCTCCTTCCTTCCCCTCGCCAATAGGCAAGAAAACCAGTGTTGAGATGGAGAAAGAACACAACAGAGACAGGTAAGGGATATAAGCACCTGAGCTCCTGCATCCAACTGCCTGGGCTTCCCAGCTACTTAACAGATAAGTTTCTGTTCTGCTTTTCTTGTTTGATTTTATTAATCCAATATAAAAAGTCTCAAAATTCCTACTTTCCAACCACATTTCCCAACTATTACCCAGCCATGTTTCTGCCAAATTTGATTTTTCTGTTTCTTGAACATACTCTAAACCTTCCCTAGACAATTTTTTTTTCAGGCTAAATTCTCCTTTCTCTACATTTTTAACAAATTCCTAACCACTTATCAAACTCTAATTAGTCACATAAAAATGATATAATGTACAAGAGATGTTCATTTTACATGCTACTTGAAATTTTAAAAATAGGCACTACAAATGCCTATTAAAGTTTGATTATTTGAATGTTTAAAAAACACTCATATAATAGAAAATGTGCAAATATTAACATGATGATCTAAAAATATATCTATTTTTACATGGAAACATTCTTGATATAATTTCAAGTAACAAAGCATGTTCAAAAGAAGGTTGTATTGTATGATCCACAGCTGTGTAAAAACTGAAAACAACTGATCAAAAGAAGGAAAATGGGCAGAAATACAGCATTCAACTCCCCCAAAATGTGCTCATGCACTGTACGACCAGCAGAGGGCACTCACGAGCAGTTCAGAGGTCAACTCAGTACAGCCAGGAAAGTGCATACAACAGGGCATAAACCCATTAGAAGACTCATATTGCAAATGGAAATGGAAGAAGGTACAATAACCGTAGAGAAAATTAAATTTCTCTTTGCCTATTAAAACATCACTCAAATACATCAGCATACATCCTCTCCAAATCTGAAAGACATTTAAGGGCTAGTCTGATTTAAAACTATAGGAAAGCAGGGCACCAGGAGACACACCTATAATTCCAGCACTCAGGAGTTCAAGGTCACCCTCAGCAACTGAGCAAGATAAAACATAAAAAATAAAATTGTGGAGCTTGGGCTGTAGCTCAGTGGCAGAGTACTTGCCTAGCGTGTGTGAGGCACTGAGTTAGATCCTTCGCACCACATAAAAATAAACAAACAAAATGAAGGCATTCTGTCCATCAGCCGAAAATAAATAAATAAACTGATAAGATTCTGGGGAGTGTGTGTGTGTGTGTGTGTGTGTGTGTGTATGGAGAGAGGGTATGTGTGAATCCTTGGGTTCAATACCCAGGACCCCA